AACATAGAGGTCCACAGAAACCGTCCGCAAACCTAGAAGCCCAAGGGTTTACCCCACTGCCCAGAGCAAAAACCTCCAAAGCTATCTATTCTCTGCCAAGCTCTTCCAAGCCACTCACCTTCAACCTGCTAGGTTACAGGGCAGCGCGACTCACTCACCTCAGCTCCGGCCAACGTCATCTTGACAGCAACCCGGGTTGTCCCTCGGGACCTTGGGATGCTCACGCCAAAGCATCCCCAGATCTCTCCGCCAGGCCTCCCGCCCCTGTCAACACAGGTTACAAGGCAACGCCCCAACACTGGCCAGCATCGTTCTGCCATCTGACAATCCGCTGATCTCTGAACACAACTGGCTCGCCGCGAGGAACCTTCAAGACCCTGAAGACAATGAAAATGTTGATGGGAAGCGACTAAGAATCAGTTGGGATTGTTGTTCTAACGGAGAACCACAGGAGGCCTTCCCCATCGGGAAGGTCATGGTTGGGACGGGGATAAAACCTTTCTACCGCCCGCAGCCACGATCGCCGTTTAGCTGTTACATCCTGTATGGTATCCGTAATATCTTCATCTCCCTAACTGATGTATTGTTTTGTATCAGCCAGGTCCAGTTCCAACGCTTTAGCGATGATAGCAGATAGCTGGTGTGTCTTAGGCAGGACCTTTTTCTGTAACTTCCCTTTCAACGTCGAACTTCGTAGGTGATCGATGAACAAGTCTCAAGCGGATTTCTCATCTCGCCCAAATTTGTCCAACGTGGTTTGAAACCGATCCACGAAATCCGGCAGCAATTCCCCTGGTCCTTGTGGTCGAGTTTTCAGTACGTACCAGGCGGCATCTTCACTGACCGTATCGAATCGAGCCAAGAATGCTTGTTTGAAAGTATTCCAATCTACCCCCGTGTGCTTTCTAAACCAGTCATGTGATATATTACGGAGTAGCAAGGTAAGAACGCGGGGAAGATCACCCGCACTGTAACCTTGAGCTTCAACGGCTTCCAGCCAAGCTTCGGGGTGGATATGATTAGGGAAGAAGGGGAACGGGGCAGGGATGCTAACCACTACCCTATTACCGTCCACCATTGGTATAGCTGGTATAGCAGCACCATATATAGACTGGTCACTGGGCGATCTCGGCGAGCGGGTGGGGGACTTCTTCTTCTACCTCTTGCCAGTTCGACTTACTATCATCAGAACGACACGTGTCGGCTCCGATACCAACCTCACGCCCTATGCTGTCTTTCGTTCGGAGTGCTAGATGTGTGGAAAGAGGCCCAGAAAAACAGCAAGATGGGGTGTGCCAAGGATTTTTGGAAATTGAGTGTGTGGACACAGACGGAACAGAAATCCCCCGTGTTGGTCCGATGAAGTAAGTCGGTTGCTTTCGCGCGTCGCGGAATGCGTGGGCGGGCACGGCGCGAAAAAAAAAGAAAAATCCAAATTCAATCCAGAAAATATTGTCGAGTTTCCCACCGTACTACGGCCCGTCGTTTAGAGCGGAAGGGCTTTGGCACGCTTCGCGTGTCTCGTTTTCGTAGCAAATCCCATCGTCGCTCGCTGGTCAATTCTGAGTCTGATGTGGAGGGTCTCAGCCGCGTGGCTCTTTCCTTATGCTCGTCTTCACTCCGTCTTCGGTAGTGGAAACCCTTTGCTTCGTAGCGATCGAAACGTTGGCACTCTGTGCACAGGGTTCAAGGCCAATGGGGCGCTACTGCCGTCCACGGGATGACGATCAGCTCGTAAAAGGGGAGCAATATTGAGTAGGGTGGAAAGTGCGTGTCGATAATAACAAGCCCAGCCTCTACGAACCCTGAATAACGATTTGCCGGGGGGAAGTAGTATTGTCCGCCGATCTGTGCGACAGCTTCTCGTACGTCCCACTCACATACACGTCTCCTTTCCTCGCTGTAAGGAAAAGGTCGTGTTGATACAGGAGGTACGGGAGGCTGACGCCCGATCGAAGGGTGCTTGTCATTCCACATATCAATCAATTGCAAAAACTCCGAGACGTCATCAAGGAAAAGCAGGAAACACTCGCGCAACTACCAATCAGTCCTTTTCAATACGAAAGAGAGAAAAAAAATACCCATCAACAGGATCATGTGCAGATGTCGTGCAGTATAAGGCAGATGGCATGCGCAACGCACTCAGAAGTACAGATCTAAACTCTTGCATTCTCGGACAAAATCCCGACAACAATCTTCTAATCAACTAAAAAAAAAAGACGCATACCTCCATACATACATTCACTGTGGAAGGTGCGAAAATGAGATATGCACAGAGATAAAAGATGGATCGATGAATAATACACATGCATCCACCGTTCACAAGACAAGAAGGCGGGGTTCTTGCGTAGGGGGACTACCCACGAAACTAATGGAAGAGTTCCGGAAGAAGTATTTTCACACAGGAACATCATACAAACTCATTTCCATTTGAGAGAGAGAGAGAGAGAGAGAGAGAGAGAGAGAGAGAGAGAGAGAGAGAGAGAGAGAGAGAGAGAGAGAGAGAGAGAGAG